ACAAAGGTAGCTAGGTACGGTGTGAGGGAAGACTCAGTGCCTATGGCCTGAGCTCACAAGGAACCTGGGGTGACAGTAAGCCATGATCTTAAGACCACAGGTCACTGTCACGAGGTCACAGCTAGGGGTATGGGTCCCTATGGGCTTTACCAATTTATTTGCGCCTGTTACTCGCAATGTTGCATAGGCCACCGGCTAGCATTCTCAAACCCACCCTCACCCGGAGATCGCTTTCTAGTTCTATCCAATGGTTCTTCATTCTTCCCATGTCTGTCTCCATTTCTCGTTGTAATGTGTTGTTTGGTCCTCCTATTCTCCATTGGCCTTGGGGATTTCAAGTGAGGACTTGTCTTGTGACGCAGTTGGGTGCTTTCCTCAATGTATGTCCTACTCACTTCCAGTGCTTCTTCCTGATTTGTTCCTCTGTCAGAGTTTCGTTTGCTGTCTCCCACAGGAGATTGTTGCTGATAGTGTCAGGCCAACGGATCCGAAGTATTTTACGTAGACAACTGTTAATAAACACTTGTATGTTCTGGATGATGGCTTTCATAGTTCTCCAGGTTTCTGCCCCATACAGTAGAACTGTCTTGACATTTGCATTGAAAATTCCGACGTTGATATTGGTTGACAGACAGTTGTTTTGAGTTCCATATGTTCTTCAGCTGTAGATATGCTGCTCTTTCTTTGCCGATTAGCGCCGTCACATCTACATCAGATTTATCGTGTTCATCAATGATGCTGCCCAAATATGTAGAGGTTTTTACATCTTGCGAATCTTCACCGTCAATTGTGATTGGATTGGTGCATGCTGTGTTGTATGGGAAATTCTTGCTTTTCCCTTTGTGTATAATGAGACCTACTGCTGCTGAGGCTGCTGCTACATTAGTCGTCTTCTCCTGCATTTGCTGTTGTGCGTGCGATAGAAGAGCCAGATCATCTGCGAAGTCCGGATCATCCAGCTTCATCCTAGCTATTTACTGTATCCCATGCTTTCAACCAGATGTTGACGTCTTCATTATCCAGTCGATCACGAGGAGAAAGAGAAATGGTGAGAGTAAGAAGCCTTACCTGACAGTGGTCTTTACTTTGAACGGGTCTGTCAGCTGACCTCCATGTGCAATCTTGCAGTTTAATCCATCATAGAAATTCTGTATGGTATTGACTATCTTCTCAGACACGTCAAAATGTTGAAGAAGCCTCGATAGTGTTGTCCAGTTCACGTTATCAAATGCTTTCTCGCAGTCTGTGAAATTGATGTAGGGATTTTAAATGTCTCGAATTATTTTTTCAGGTTAGCTTTTGTTTAGAGAATTAGTTTTCTATGTGATGGGGTCGCTAACCGCATGACCAACCTTCCTACTTTATCCGGGCTTGGGACCAGCATTAGCCCCAGAGGGGCTCCAGGTAGTGTCCTTTACCAATCTAGATACTAATATGTTCACCACAGTATACACAACCCCTGTGAGTTCCAGGCTTGAAAATTGCGTTGGGGCTGTAATTCTGTGTTTTAAATGTGACTCAAATGTCTTGTAAAAGGTACATAGGGCAGCTACCCATGCAGTCATAGAACTCTAGGGCTTACCATACAAGGAGTATGTAGGGCCAGTGAAATTTTACTGACCCCTAACCGAATCATCCAGCAGTTGAGTCACTGATTATCGAACAGATTATCGATCCTCGTCGAGGTCAAGGACAATCATCGCGCATCAGTTAATCGAATGTCACGGGCTGGCGCATCTTGTGGTGTTCTCGCTATCTTCTCTGTACTCATCTTCACTAGTATATTTCAATAATAACGTCCTTTGTGTTATCCGGTCTTCAAAGCAACCATACAAGCTCAGCGTTATGCTGAAAAAATGTCCTTCTACGATAGGCCTCAACTTAGCTGTTCAACAAATACTACCCCAATAGGCGCTGATGATGTCTCCAACAAACAAGTAATTATGTTTAAGAATAGTAAAATAACTTCATTTAAGCCTGATAATGTAGTAGTAGTAAACGCGCAGCCTGGTTTAGTCACTGATATAAAGGAGGATGGACTACTGAAATTTAGGTTTTTCACTGATCCACGCAATTACTTTGAAGATCCTTTCCCATCTAGTGATATAGGAATCTTTATGTGCTCCATAGTTAGCCATGAACACATATGGGTATCGGTTAAGGACATTGATTGTGAATGTATAGCCATAAATTGTATCAGTTATCTAGTTCTAATTCCATTGTTGCATACTTTAGTGTAAATGTATTTTGTTTCATTAGTGTTGAATTAATGATGAGGTAGAACATAAAGAAAATTGCACGGACTATTCCCTTCAGCCACGTTCGTTCGGCTATTGAGAATTGAGGTAGTCGTCCTGTGAATTCTGAAGTTAAAAAAACAAAAAACGTCACAACGACATCTGAATGACATGCTCGGCACAGCCAAATGCTTGAAGCTGAACTTACGGTTATGTTCGTTAATGCTGTAGACTGTAACTATAGAGCCATAGGGAAGTTATCACTTGAAATTAGTACATACCTGATCTTGTTTTCTTCTATTACGCTTTTTCACTTTGTCTCTGACATCGTGGAAATAACCTTGTGTCGCGATGTCGTACAGCTTAGCAAAGTCTTTTTCGTTGACAGCGGATGACAGAAAGCGATTTGTTAACGCACCTGAAGTTTAAATACTAAATATGAGTTACTTCGTATGCAGCCGTAAAACCGGCATTTCTGAAGTGCGCGTTTCGAAGAGGGGCCAAGCAACGTGAATTTACTGACAACCTCAGGTGTTAAGAGGTGTGATAGAACATACCGCATTGATGTTTTCGGATCGTCACTTGGTAACCTCGTAACCATTGCCATCTGTAATAGTAACAAATTATTAAATTAATGTTGATGGCTTACAAATCGGTCCCTGGTTTCTTTCTGCTGCAAACCAGTGTCCAGCATCTGCAGTTCCTCTTCAGATGACAAAGGGAGCTGCTGACTCGAGATTCCGCAATGGAATTGATGCGGTTTTCCGCGTTCATTAGACTTAGATAGTAATTGCTTTACATATTCAAGTCAGTAATGGCCGAGGAAATGTTGTGCATCGTTTTATTCAAGTTAGTGATAGCTGACGACATGTTCTGCACCACTGTATACAACCTATCGAACCTGAAAAAGTTCACTTGATGATGCAGGTGACTTACAGGTCCGCTATAACACCACTGACATGCTTAGATTCCGATGTTGACGGTGACGTCTCTAATTGCGTCGAACTAATTCGTGAACATCTAAATAATAATGAAGCTTACTTGGCAATTGGCGAGACGAATTTGTCAAACAACCGAAGTTTTGGATATTGTACGTGGCGATTGCCAGCCTGCATCTCAGCCACGTCCATGTCCACTGAATTGTAAAGAAACGCTTCTTTCCGCTTCATTGCACCTCTAGGAAATGTTACTAAGATTATTGCACAGACCTCTTGGGCTTTTCTGTGTTTTGTGGCAATGTGTTTTCATCCGTAGAAGTGTTTCTACGATGAGATTCCAGTATTTGCAGGGAAATTAAAAGATCTTTCGCAGACTGCAAAGAATCTATAGTGAATTATAGTTTCTATGTTTGTTACTTACCGAATTTGTGAATGACTTTACATTTCAAAACTGACCAGTCGTTATCTGGTTGATCGTAGTTTTGCAAGTGAGTATCTATCAGCTCGTTTGGAAGAAGGCAAAGTTCTTTCCCGACCATCCACTCCTTGGATGCTACCATAAGTTCTTCATTGATCGGGACGTGAAGAATGACGTATTTCTTGTTAGTAGGCTAAAAATAACATAAGACGTCATTAAATGGTTTATCATCATTAATTCAACACTAATGAAACAAAATACATTTACACTAAAGTATGCAACAATGGAATTAGAACTAGATAACTGATACAATTTATGGCTATACATTCACAATCAATGTCCTTAACCGATACCCATATGTGTTCATGGCTAACTATGGAGCACATAAAGATTCCTATATCACTAGATGGGAAAGGATCTTCAAAGTAATTGCGTGGATCAGTGAAAAACCTAAATTTCAGTAGTCCATCCTCCTTTATATCAGTGACTAAACCAGGCTGCGCGTTTACTACTACTACATTATCAGGCTTAAATGAAGTTATTTTACTATTCTTAAACATAATTACTTGTTTGTTGGAGACATCATCAGCGCCTATTGGGGTAGTATTTGTTGAACAGCTAAGTTGAGGCCTATCGTAGAAGGACATTTTTTCAGCATAACGCTGAGCTGCTTGCTTAGCTACAGCAAACCCACTGTGCACAGAATTCTTGATTTTTGTCTCATATAAAATTCGACTGGAAAGGCTGAAAAACTATCTAAAGGTCCATGTGCACGAACGTCGTCAGGGAGGTGCTGTAACGAATGCGCATTGTAAACTAGGTTTTCAGACCCATAACACCATTTGTATTCTTTAAGGAATTTTTGTAAATCTATTCTGGCGATTTCTACAACAGTATTATGTAGTTTCGGATGTGCAAGCAGATAAATGGATAACGCTAAACGCCGGAAATTAAGATACAAAGGTTGCGGCAATGTTTTTTGAAGAATCATCGGGCTTAAATACAGAAGGAACAACCTACATTCAGAAGCTTTCCATGCCGATACGAAGTCTAGTGTGCGGCATTTACACGGAAAGTCGTAAGGAGTACTTTCCACGCAACCTGATATTAAATTATTAATGTCCCTAATTGCACATGAGTTCAAGTTCAGCAGTCTCCTGTGTGCTAAATCTATCCATAAATTAGCCAGCTTTTTTGTGACACCTAGGTACACCATGTGCATAGGATTTAAAGTAAAAGTTAACATCATATTAATCGGAAGCGTTTCCATAATAAAATGTTGTTGATTGTGAAATAATATGTATCTCATTCTGTCATTTATAGTCAGGTTTCTAAGGTATTTTTCTGTTTTACTCCTAAATCTGCTTTATTTTGAATGTTGCATTATATTTTGATTTCTATTCCTCAGGTTACACTTCATACTGATTCGTACTCAAACCATCATTCGTCTCTGACTCCATTTATTAGTTTGCGCTAACATTCTTTCGAATTCTATGTCCCAAGACATATTAAAAAATGCTGTCCATTCTCAACGTGTTCGTTTCCTGTACAAATTTATACTTACTTTGCATCGTTCACTGCCTTCGCATTTACGGGAAATTGGTGACAAATATGTGAAAACAGAATTCAAGAAGCATAAGGATGTCAAACCCGAATTTGTTCAACCATTCATGGTTGAATGGACAGTAAGTAGGTTTAAATATCTACATATTTTGTATTTCAGGACTTGTTCTAAACTTCATGTATGTTTATAATTACGAAGTCCAGTGATTAGATCCCATAAAGAAGCTTAAATAATGACAGAAATGTTAGTTATGATAGTATGTAATATTAGAGGTAAATTTATCAGAATACGTTTACCTTTTTTCCTTTAAGTTATGTATCTAAACAATCGTGTGACATAAAAGTGTAAACTTGAATAGTCGACTTTCAGGTCGTAAACCGACTGTAAAATATGGTGACCAGTGATAAAATAAAGTGACATTTATTATGTGCAGTCAACTTAAGCTTGATTTCATAATAGTCGATGCCTTCATTGTTATGAATAGTTTGAATAAAGGGTGGCATAAAATATGGTGATTGACTTTCATTAGCAATCCTTGCTTATGGTGTGTATATGGACGCTTATTTCAGTGTTACTTAATTACTTACGCCTGTTACTCATCATGGAAGAACATAAGCCGACCATCACCACTCTCCATCCAACCCTGTTTTGGGCAATTCTCTCCAGCTTCTTCCAGTTGTTATTCATCCTTTTCATATCTGCTTCTATTTCCGACGTGATGTATTCTTTGACCTTCCTCTTCTCCGTTTACCTTCTGGATTCTAAGTTAGTGCTTGCTTCGTGATGCAGTTTGATTATTTGCGTAATGTATGTCTTATCCATTCCCATCGTCTTTTCCTAATTTTCTCTTCAACTGGAAGCTGGTTTGTTCTCTCCCACAGTAGGCTGTTGCTGAGTTCCATCTGTTCTTCAGTTGTAGGAATGTGGCCCTTGCTTTGTGAATCCTCGGCTGTACGTTTGTATCTGATCCTCCTTATTCATCGATGATGCTTACCAGGTACGTGAAGGATTCTACATCTTCCAGAGTTTCGCCATCTAGAGTGATTGGATTGCTGTTCTCCGCTTTGAATTTGAGGACCTTGGTTTTCCCCTTGTGTATGTTGTGGTTTACTGATACAAAGACTGCTGCTATACTGGCTGTCTTTATCTGCATTTTTTCGTGTGTATGCGATAGGAGGGCTAGGTCATCTGTGAAGTTCAAATCGTCTAATTGGTTCTGAACTGTCCATTGTATGCCGTGTTTTCCAGTCGATCACCAGAAGAAAGAGGAAGTAGGGGAGTAGACAGTCTTGTCTGACTCCCGTCCTTACTTGGAATGCATCTGTCAGCTGTCCTCCATGCACTACTTTGCACTGTAGTCCGTCGTATGAGTTTCGGATAATGTTGAGAATCTTCTCAGGAACTCCATAGTGTCGAAGAAGTTTCTATAATCTCCTCCTATCTACACTGTCAAACGTCTTCCCATAATCAATAAAGTTGATGTATATTGACGAGTTCCACTCAACTGATTGTTCGACGATGATCCGTAGTGTCACAATTTGGTCTGTGCACGACCTATCCTTACGGAATCCAGCCTGTTGATCTCGAAGTTGGGCGTCTACTGCATCTTTCATCCGGTTCAGGAACACAGTTAGAGACTTTCCGTGGTACTGACAGTAGTGTGATGCCTCTGTAGTTCTCACATTTTCTCAGATCTTTCTTTGAATCTTGAGGTGTCCTTCTTCGAGTCCATCGGCACTTGTTCCTCCTCTCAAATCTCCTTGAATAGAAGGTGAAGTATGTTTGAAGTTACTTCGATGTCTGACTTGAGCGCTTCGGCTGGTATATTGTCGGGTCCTGTTGCTTTCCCGCTCTTGATTTGTCCGATGGCCGTCCTGATTTCTTCCGTCGTTGGTGGGTTGACACCTATAGGAAGCTCTGTGTGTGTGTTGCTTCGATGTCCGGTGGATTCAATTAAGCTTGTCTATTCAAGAGTTCCTTAAAGTACTCTATCCACCTGTTCCACTGTTCTTGAATTTCAGTGATTGGCCTGCTATCTTTATCTTTGGCCGGTCTTTCTGGTTTGCTATATCTCCCTGCTAGTTTCTTCGTTGTATCATAAGACTGTTTCATATTTCCTTCTCTTGCAGCTTTTTCCGCCGTCGTTGCTAGTTCTTCCACGTATTCTGCTTGTCGGCTTTGATCCTCTTCTTCACTTGCTTGTTTGTTTCTATGTACTCAGCTTGTGTCTTGACTTCCTCTGCTCGTGTTCGGCTGGCGTGGTTTCTTAAAATGAAAGGTAGAGTATTCGGTATCCTGCCCTTTAACATTCAGGTGATTTCAGTTAATTAGTATACTAACATTAAAGTTTGATATGAAGTCTTTGGAATTCTGTCCAGATTTTGTTTTTAATTAAATACGGACTGCAGCATATGTAACAGTGTCATTAAATTGTTTCTGTAAATTCACTAACGTAATCATTCGTATACTCCAGTTAATATTTTCCAAGGCGACTGTAAAGTTAAACAATAGGGTATAGTGATGTATATATTCTTAGTTTTTAGTCAACTATGGGAAAACCATCGAATTAGATTTCGTTTTTATAGGATTTTTCAATAGGTCTATCTACAGTCTTGATGCTAGTTCATTGATCCATCCATATTGTTGCTATAAATTAAGCACCAGCTAAAACATGATACTTTTCTAAAGTCTTAGTTGTTGATCCATTGTCGATTAGTGCAATAAGCTCAACGTTATCGCTTGCTTTCACCTACAGGTTTGCTGCACATACTTCAGTCCAGGTATCCGCGTAGTGACATCAGTCCAAAACCCAGTACAACAATTTTCCTACCATTAATGATACTCTTATTTTTCACTACTTTTGTATTCCTGATCATTTTAGTTCATTGTTCAATGATGTGGCAACATGAACAGATGGATACATGTGCTCTATTCTACGCTGCTTATGACTGACAGCGCTTTGACCCTAAGCATACTCCTATCCACCACCTAATACCAAACTTGTCTGGTAAATATTGTGTCATCATTGTATCCATGTATAGACTTCCATTTTAGCATTCACTAAATGCCTTAAAGCTGTCTTTAACTATTTGATTGACTGAGCCATAATAAGTTAATCAATAGCCAATCTAATTTTGGCCTTTTACAACTCAACATCCTTAATACTTATAAGTGATTAATAAAGTTGCTAATTTTTACTTAAAATAATTAATTTATTTTACAGAAATATGCAGTTGAATTATCAATGCAAATTCAACAATCAATACGAAATTCGAATAATAAAATTGGCGCAAAGGATGAAATTAAAATGAACAAGGAAGAAGCGCTTGGTAAACCATTGGATGAAGCTTTATTGAATTATTTTTCTGAAACACAACTTAATCAGCTATTAGCTTTAGCTAAAGAAATTCATGATGAAAATCATAAACCATTAGAAAAGTAGTCGAAAAATGATCAACTAATACAAATGAACTTTACTACAATGTGTTGCGAACTATATCAATAAAATGTAGCGATTATATTTGTTTTTAGATTTTCTGAACTTTTTGAATTAGTTGATGTGAACAAGCTACAGTCATTTTAAAATAAACCTTTCGTATGTCAGTCAGTCAGCTACAACGTAGGACCAGGCACATATATGCATCGGTCCAAGTTGCCATACCTCATTAACACAACAAAATGGACACCGGATTCATAAAGTAGTTCATTCAGAGGTGGTAATATATAAAAGAAAGATTGCAATAAGGATATAGTACACGAAGAAAGAATTAGTTCGTAGAAAGACAGATATGAAGCGATTTTAATCTCTTAGTTTGAGGGAAGACAGAGAGTGTATACACCGACGCCATTGTGATCGATTCTGAGCCATGTCACCAAGAGTCTCCAACCATTGGTTACGATAGTCACGCGTTCCCCAACCAAGTAGTCTGCATCTACCAACATGGCTCAGACTAGAAGTTAGTGACTTCAAGCACTGATGCCACGTTTTGGTTTGGCCGCCCCTAACTTTCTTCCAACCATCCCGAACACCGGTTAGCATTGCACGTCGTGGTAACCGGTGTTTGGCCATACGTAACACGTGGCCCAACCATCTCAGTCGATGAAGATCCACAACCTCATCAACTGATTTACCATCATTCCCTAATGCCCTGCGTCTAACCTCACTATTACTTGCCCGGTGATCCCAGCAGACGCCAGCAATATTTCTAAGGCATCTGTGGTCAAATACTAGTAGCTTACGAGTGTCTTCTACTCCTAATGACCATGTTTCGCTGCCGTAAATTAAAACAGAACGGACTGCCGCGCAGTATACTCGTCCTTTTATTGATAGACGGATATCTCGCCTTCGCCATAGGTGATGTAAGTTGGCAAACCCAAACGAGCTTTTCGAATCCGTACTGAGATTTCGTCGGACACCAACACATTAGGGCTGATCAAACTTCCAAGGTAAGTGAAGTTGTCGACGCCATCCTTAGTTCAGATGTTGACGCATACCAGTCGTGAAGCGCATTCCAAACATTCTGGCATTGTTGCTTAGTGCTACCAGAAGACTACATTTTATCAGCGTCTTCACCAAATAGGACTATGTCATCTGCGTATTCTAAGTTGATAAGTGGACCTCATGGGAGGAGATCAATACCCGAGAATTCAGTAGACGAGAATGTTATTTGCATCAATAGGTCTATGATGAAGTTAAACAAAAACGGAGAAAGTGGACAGCCTTGTTGGACACGACTTGAGGTTGCGAAAGCAGATGACAGTTCGCCATAAGCTCTGACTCGACTAGTAGTGTTCGAGTAAAGAGCCTTCACAAGGTTTATGTACTTCTGAGGTAGACCTTTCAATGACAGACACTGCCACAGAATCTCGTGGTCTACAGAGTCAAATGCTGCTTTTAAGTCGAGAAAGACCACCATTGTCGGACGCCGATAAGTATGCCTGTGTTCTAGAACCTGACGAATGGTGAATATGTGGTTGATGCAGCCACGACCAGGTCTGAAGCCAGCTTGATTCTCTCGTATTTGCAGTTCACGAGTCTTTGTTAGGCGTCCGATAATTATCGAGGCTAGTATTTTAGATACTATATTAGTTAAACTAATCCCAGTCAGATGGGATAACGTCTAACTCCCAGATCTTAGCTGAAGTATTAGTCAACCTAATCGATAAAATTGGACCACCATCCTTAAAGACCTCTAGAGCCAATCCATCTGGACCAACTGCTATTCCTCGTTTCAGATTAACTTTAGTCTTTTGAACTTCTGCTAGAGTTGGGGGACCTACTTCAATGTTCCATTCACACTGTCTGGGAATGGAGGGTAGTTGTAGAGTAGCTGAAGGCCAGCTGAACTGTTCTCTGAAATGTTCCGCCCATCGTTCTAAACGTCTGGACTGAGAGCAGATAAGGGTGTCGTCTTTTTCCGAAATAGTCTGACTTACACTTGACTTAGTAGTTCCAGTTTCTTTTATTAGTCTGTAGAGCTGTCTTGTGTTCCCTATAGTCGCCGCCTTTTCCATCTCTTTTGCTTTCGTTGCCCACCACTGCTCACGGTCGTTCCTTAGACTTTTGTTTATTCTAGATCTGTTTTGTTTTTGGTCTTCATCGTGTTCAGAGCCTGATGGGATGAGTTTACGAGAATCCATCAGTGCAATAGACCTTGAGGAAATCCATTGGTTCTTTGTAACCCTGTGGTTTAAATCACTGATAGATGTCACTGCTGTTTCCACAGCTGTTGGTATCTTTCCAAGCAACATCTGGGTCAGCCTCGTTTTCAGAACTACCTAAGTGTGACCTCAGTTGTTCCTGGAACCTACTTTTGGTTTTCTCGTTACTCAATTCAGTTCTAATGGGTCTTTTTAATGTGGCTTTTTTGCGTCCAGTGAGGCGCAAGCAGATGCGTGCCCGTATTAGGGCATGGTCGGAGTCCAAGCAGGTACTCCAGAATGAGCGACAATCTTCTACCGACCCTCTCCAACGATGACTGATGGCAATATGGTCTATTTGAGTCCATCGTTGGTTTGGTGTAGGGGGTCGCCATGTTAGACGATGTCTCTCCTTATGCTTAAAATTTGTGTTTGCTAAAAATAAACGATTGTCTGAGCACAGTTGCAGCAGACGATCACCATTATCTGTTCGCTGTGCCGGAATACTAAAATACCCACCTAAATGCCTTTCTGTTTGGTTTAAACTACCTATCTGAGCATTAAAGTCACCTGCTACGAGTACTATGTCTGAGCGTTTAGCTTTCTGAAGAAGTTCAGATAGCTTTCTGTAAAATTCATCTTTCACTTCATCTGAGCTGCAGTCAGTGGGAGCGTAGGCAGAAACGACAAAAAGGCAACGACGTGTGTCCCTATCCTTCCGAGTTCTTACGGAGCCGTTTAGCCGAACAGCACATAAACGACTGTTGACGGGGATCCACTCTAGCAGTGCTTGTTCCACCCTCATGCTTAGTGCTATGCCTACACCTGCCAGTCCACGAGAACTGGCCATCGGGTCACCAGATACACGGAGGGTGTATCTCGTTGGCTCTCCGTTTTGCCGAGGTGAGGTCAAGTGAATGACCACACTGAGATCCTGTATGCGTGTTTCAGAGACACAGCATACATCAATGGTACGAGATTCTAGGGTTTTAGCCAAGGAAGCCTGTTGACCGATTTGACATAGGGTGCGTACGTTGAAGGCTCCAATGTGTAGTTTGGAGCGAGGTTTCAGTAGACCTGGGACAGTGTTTTGAGCACTAGAATCGTTGGCTATGGTGACACTTGAGGAGGAAGCCGAAAAGGAAGTTTAGAGTTGAAAGTCGATGTAGGAGGAATAATAGGAATTGAAGAGGAGGTTGATTATGAATACAGTGGTCTTGAGTGCTGTTAGAGGTATGAGGGCGGTTATCACTTCCCGGTTGCCCACACCGTGGAAGGGTTGTTCTGGAGGTACCTGAAAAGGAAATTGGATTAGAGGTGGTCTTATTGACCTGAGAGCGTGACCGCAGTGCACGAAGGACAACTGCTTGAGGTCGGTCACACGACCTTTTTATGAGTAATTTTTGTGTTAGCTCCGTACTTTTTGGGACCTTACCGCCGGAGACGGATAATATAAACTAGAAGTTGTGATAGAGTAAGGTTTCATATGGTTTACACTAAGTGCAGATTTACTCAATCGGCTGTAAGTCATACATTTTGTACGTGATGGCTAGTTCCGGCCGTAGCTTCTATCATGGCGTGATAGTTAAGCTTGTGTATCTAAATGACCCAGCCGAGCTTTGCCCTCAGGAATAGTCATTCCTTTAGACTGTATCATATCAGACAGGTCACTTGGGGAACGGTAAAATCTAAAGCAACAACTTAGTGCTTGAGGGCGAAGTCGTACCGCAGATTGCGTAGGCGTGCGACAATAAGGTGTCTGCTTGACGTCTGCAGCGATTCTGCCTTCTCACAACGGACGAGGTTTGTAAAAGTTCCCCAAATTAGCAGGCTTTGTCCCGTGGATCTCATTTACCTGCTGTGAAACGTTGTTGGGTCGTCCGTAACATTTAATCACTTAAAAGTCGGATGTTCCATTCACTCTCAGACGATCAAGATCACTTTTAGTCTATTTTTTCTTACAGTTACTTCAAGAAGTATCATTCAACCAGTACATGACAACCTCCCCCATACTTCTGTCAGCACTTGTGATCATCTTGTTCACATTCGGATCCTTGATGGTTAATGATAAAATATCGTTCGGTTGCCTGAAATGAAGTAGATTTATGCTGTTTAGACCTGTGAGTTATTGTAAATAAATAATATATTTGTAATATCCGAATGACTAGAAAATTAGATTTTCTGACGTTTCGTGACTTAGTGTAAGTCACTTCTTCAGAGAATAAATAACTAAATTAAAACTAATCCAAGTTTAATTTAGTTATTTATTCTCTGAAGAAGTGACTTACACTAAGTCACGAAACGTCAGAAAATCTAATTTTCTACTCATTTGGATATTACAAATATATTATTTTTATTTATAACAATCAACCCAATGCTCAATTTATTCGAAATTATCAAATCAAACCTTGGTAATGATACATACTGTGAGTTATTGGTTGATGTCAAAAATTTCAGAACACTGAACTACCTTTAGACATGGAATATTAACTGATATTACGTAAAACATTTTGTTCAGACAAAATTTAGATGTTTCAGCGATGAAATGTTTATCTACGATATCATTTGCTAGAACTATAATCATATTTATTCTAACGTGTAGTGGTCTATAATAAAAGTGGAACTGTTGCATCTCTAATAGAGGTTCTAGAAGCTAGTCAGAATTTAAAGTTACATATTAGACAAGGGTTAATAAGAATGAAATGACATACAGAAACGAGCTATCCACTGTTTTATGCGTCCTTGGTCCGATCGATAATTCGCTACTTCTGATTGGCGGCTTTGAGCTATAACAGGTGATTATAAGGAAGATAATATGGATGCGTACTCATCAAAATAAAATATAGGACAGAAATATGAAAGATAATCGTCCAC